ATGTGGAAAAAATGAATTAATTTTTTCTATGATATTTATAATTTCATCCTTATACAAGCTGTTGGCTTAGCCTACTCCTCTTGTTCTAGAAGTTTGAGGTTCACCATGAAGTTGTTTATTTGCACTTGGTCTGTTTTCCTGATATGGATATTCACTGCTATAAAATTCCTTCTTAGGACTGCTTTCATTGTGTCCCATAAATTCCTGTATGTAGTATATTCATTAACATTTGATTGCAGAGGACTGCCCAAATAGCTCAGTGGATTCAAGCACCTGCAAGCAGGCACAGGGGCCAAGGGTTTGATCCCTGGACCTGCCGTGCTGGTCCCACCCCCAGGGTGTGCTGAGACAGTAATTGAGACTAGTTGTGGTGGCTCGAGCCTATAATCCCAGATCTTGGGAGGTTGTAAACAGATGGATCACATCTGTATGAGTCTGATCTAGTAGTGAGACCCTGAACACCTTGTAGATCCTTCCCTAAAATTAAAAAAAAAAAAAAATCATTTGATTGTAGAAACTATCTAATTTCTTCTTTTTTAAAATTTTATATAGTGAGCACAGGGTCTCACTATGCAGTTCAGACTCATAGTGATCCTCCTGTTTCAGCCTTTCCAGCACTGAGATTACAGGTATGCACCACCAGGCCCAGTTTTGGTTGCCTGCTCTGCATACCCAGGGCAGGGCCGGCACGGCATCCAGTGCCAGAGATTGAACCCAGGTCCCTGTGCTTGCCAGGCAGGTGCTTAGACTGCTGAGCTATCTCCCCAGTCCTTTGATGTCTTCTTTAATGTCATCTGTAACCTGTTCGTTGTTCAGGAGAATGAGGTCCTCTCCTCACATCGGCTCAATCTGCTGTGTATACTTTCTATGGAATTTTTGTTCTCCTGGATATCTGCTGGAATCTGCCTTGTGGATTCCAGTTTTTCCAATGCTGAACATTCATGGCTTCCATAATTTTCTTAAGTTCCTCTATTTTTTTTGTACATATCTTCTTCTAGAGTCACTAAACATGGTTTTCATGTGGACACTATCCCTACAGTTATCTAGGAAATTATTTCTGATTTGATTTTTTTTCTAGAGCCTGTTTCACTAGTTTTGTTGTTACTACTTCAGAGAGCCAGGTGGGTGGCTTTCAGATTGTCCCACCACATTGCCCCTTGGGTTTGCCTTTAGTGAACTGGATGTCTGGGGTTACATTTTGTTTAAGTGCTTCTCCCTCTGCCCTTTTTAGTTTAATTCCTGGGTTGATTCTTGTAAGTTGTCTATGATGGGTTTGCTTTTTTTTTTTTTTTTTTCTAGTATTTGGGAACCTTAAGAAATGACTATTTCTCCAAGGTATCTTCAAGATTTAGCTGGTTTTTGGGTTCTGGGTTTGTTGTATTATCCTACCTATTCAGTTTATTGAGAATGAGAAGTTACTGCCTATTTGGCCTAGTCCCTGGCTCTTTGGCACTGTGCCACAGCATTTTCTGTGAACCTTAGTCAATTTCAGTCTTACAGTACCAAAAAGAACACTGTTTAGAACAATTTTGTCACTTTTGGCAATACTGGTACCATTAGCAATGACAATGGAATCAAAGCCTACAAAATGACAAACTGAGCTAACTATTAATTTTCCACCTTTAACTATATGTACTAGGTTTGTGGTTATGTAACAAAACCTAAAACAAACCAGAAAAGTATATGCAGTGTACAAGTCCTTAATATATCAATTTTGCCCTCAGAGGCTACAATTTTAAATGGGGTAGGGAAAAAAATAGAGAAGTGAAAGTAGAGGAAGAGAAGTAAAGCTGGAGGACAAAGGTAGATCACACTAACTTTGGGAAACTGGTGTAAAAGACTGAAGGGAAGGAGAAAAAGAAGAAATAAAAAGAACCAATGAAAACCACATCCACACAGAGGCTGTAAACCATGTTCACACTCATATAAAAACAAGGTCAAAGAATGAAGGACAAAAAATAGAACCCAAATATAAAAATACCACCACCACCACAACAACAACAAAAAACAGATGAGAGAAAAAGGAAAAAAAGCAAGAAAGAAAAAGTAGGGGAGGGAGGAGGCAGGCATGGTGGCACACACTTATAATCCCTGCCCTTGGGAGGCCTAGGCAGGAGGATCATTATGAGTTTGAGACCAGCCTTGATTACAAAGTCAGCTCAAGACCAGCCTGAACTGAATAGTGAGACCCTGTCTCAAAAAGATAAGAAATTAATTAATTAATTAATTCACTTCCAGGTATGTCTCTGCTATCACTGGTAGACAACATGTGTAGGCAGTCCTGGTACGTGCTCATCTATCCCAGCAAGTCAGCAATAGCTTTTCACAAGGTAGTGCATAATCTCAAGCAAGCCTGGACCTTCTGGCCAAGACTAGGCTCAGTTAGCGTACAGCCATTGGTGCACCTTCTGTGGACCTGAGTCCAGAGGGAGCCCCTAGGTGGAGCCCACAGCTGCCCTGACTTCTGAGCTCAGCTGGCCCCTCTCCAAGATGGCTCCCAGCCAATCATTCTCTCACATAGGACAACTGAATCCTCAGTACTCAGTACCTGCTAGTGCTGTCCTTCATGTCTGCTGCTGCCCCTCCACTGCCTTGTCTCTTCTTGGAAGTCTTTGGCGTCACCAGTAGTCACAACATTTCCACAGATTTGAACCGTTCATCTTGAGCAGTGGGTCCCATCTCAGGGAGAAGTGACACTGGATACCTCCTTCCCATTTCTTGAAGTTTCTCCCTGTACTCTTTCGTGGGCTTCAATTCATACCTCAGATTGTTCCAAGGGACTCACTTCCATCTTTCTTGTCTTCCTCATGTTGCTGTATTCCATTGTCTGGACAGCAACTCTCAGAGAGGTTCTTTCTCTGCTGCTTACCACTTTGCCATCTACGTGCTCAATGTCAACATCATTTATTTTAACTGGAAAAATAAGAGCCAAGCCATACTTTGTCTTTTTTCCCTAAAATGTATTTTCCTGATAATTTCTCAACTTCAATAACAACAAAATATTTGTGACATGATAGTCATACACAAATGACAGTATAATTTTCAGAAATACTTATTAATGTTAAGTCTATCCAGACTTTGAAATAGTGTCTTAGTTTCAATGGGGATTTTGTTTTGTTTCTGATTTTTAATCTAAAGCTATATGATGCTTGTGGATTAAGCAATAAATTTCTAAATTTAAAAATAACTAAGGGTTGATGAGATAGCTCAGCAGACTAAGTGCCTGCTTAGGCAAGCACAGGGACTGGGGTTTGATCCCTGGCACCGTATGCCTCGTTGGCCCTTCCCCTGGGCATGCTGATCTGGCCACTGAGACTGGGCATGGTGGCACACACCTCTAATCTATTGCTAGGGAAGCTGAAAACAGGAGGATCACTACAAGTCCAAGCTGCATAGTGATACCCTGTACCAAATACATTTTTAAAAAGAATTTTAAAAGCCTAACAACTTTTTAAATTCATTAATTATAATGATTTTTGGCTCTCAAGCAACAATAGACAAATCTTGTTTTGTATTTTCTGCTTTACCATGTTCCTGGAGGGGATATAAGAAAGAAGAAAGTTCCAAATCTTGAAATTCAAGTTATTTGCCTCTTCAGGGAAGCTGCCGTGATCTATTAAAGAATCTGGGGCCTGGCCCAGTAGTGAATAGAGAGAAACTAGAGGAGAAAAGTCATAATAGAATTGAGGGAATTACAGGGAGAAACAATGTAAATGTAGAATTTAAAGAACTTTTGAGTGTTTGGAATCAACATGGTCTTTCAGCTGTGCCCACAGAGTAATGACTGTTGACATGTCCAAAGTAAACCTGAGCTCAGCAGTGGTACCTATGGCACATGTGCCACACCAGCTGTTTTCTATCACTTAAGGCTTTGAAGGTTCACCAGCACTGCCTTAGAATGTGTAATAGAACAAGTAAGGAGGTTGAAGCAAGACTTTGAGGCCCCAAGTGATGGGCTTGCAAAGCCTACTTTCTCCCATAGAACTATGGTTTGGATCTATAATGTACCCCAAAAGCCTGTGTGTTAAGAGCTTGGTCCAGTGACCATGGTTTTATTAAAATGTAGTAGAACCCTTAAGAGGTTGGCCTAGTATTATGTCTTTAGATCAGTGAGGGTGTTACCCTTGAAGGGAATTGTGGGACCTCAGTCTTTTTCCCTTTTACTTCCTGCCATAAAGTGAACAGTCTTACTCTATTGTTTGCTCCCACCCTGTTATGCTTTCTCAACAGAGCCTCAAACGTAATGGAACAGGCTGATCATGCATTGGAAGCTCCACAACCAAGTCAAAATAAACTTTTTTGCCCTATGGTAGTTATCTCAGATATTTGTTACGGTAATGGAAAGCCAGCTACTGTGCAAGATTAGTAGGGAGCCACTAGTTGTTGAGAGACTGACACTCACCTAAGTAACCCATTAAGACTCTAAGGTTGAATCTCAGGTGCACCAGGGGTAGTCTAAACAGAATACTCTGAAAACAGTGTAGTAGTCCAGGCATAAATTAATAAAGAGCTTAACTGTAGTGGCAGCTATGGACTTAGAAACAAAAGTAGAGGCAAAACCGAAAAGATTTCAGATTAATCGGAAGGAATGAAAAATGATTGTGAAGTTTGGAATTTGGATGGGTAAGTACCATAGTTAGAGAACTGAGGAAAAGAATTCACTAATTTGAAAAATTGTATTTTACTGTGTTAGATAAATGCATTTTAGGTGAGAGTGGGCTGAGTCAAAACTTTCAGTATGGCCAGTGGACAGAAGGACAAGCTCTGTCCTTGCTAACCCTATGACTAGGGGAGAATATGTGTTGATACTGTATTATACTCTGTAGCTTTATTTCCCAGCATCTCTGCAATAAATCCCCAAAACACAGCCTTAGTAATATACAAAAAAAATAGTTTGAACTATTTGTTTTACATTTGTAAAAATAGTTTTACATTTGTAAAAGGTTTTGACTGAGCACTTAACTCTATGCTATTCTTTGTTTACCTCTCTCTAAAGACAGCATTGATGTTACACACCATCCACCTTAGTGCCTGCTGTACCAAAGCCCAGCTGCTGTTCAGCATCCCTTGCTCTGCAGGATGTCACAGATCAACATGGACCAGAAAGAGGAGCTGCTGAAAATTACCAAAAAGCTGGAGAAGATGGTGGCCAAGAGAAAGTTGGATGGGGCCCTGGGCCTTCTGAAGAAGCTGAGAAGCTATCAGATGTCCATCTATCTGCTACAGACCACCAGGATTGGGGTTGCTGTTAATGGGGTTCGCAAGCACTGCTCAGACAAGGAGGTGGTGGCCTTGGCCAAAGTCCTCATCAAAAACTGGAAGCAGCTGCTGAACTCCCCAAGATGTCTTAAAGAAGAAAAAGGAAAAAGAAAACGAAAAGCAAAGAAGAAGGTGAAAGTGCTTGATTCTTCAGATTGGAAGCCAAAAGCAGCCCTTTCTTTACCCACGAGGAAAGAAAAGGTAGAAACCAAGAGCAAGAGAGACTCTGTGGCCTCTGAGTCTTCTGCCACCTCCTCACTAAAGAGACCGTCAATGAAAAGATCAAACAGCAGCAAATCAAAAGTGAAGACCCCCAAAACACCTAGCAGCCCCTCAACATTTGCCCCCTCCATTTGCCTCCTGTCTCCCAGCTACCTCACAGGGAACTCTATCCGGGACAAGTGTGTGGAGATGCTGTCAGTGGCCCTGAAGGCAGAAGATGATTACAAGGACTATGGAGTCAACTGTGACAAGATGGCATCAGAAATTGAACAGCACATCTACCAGGAGCTCAAGAGCACAGACATAAAGTACCGGAACCGAGTGCGCAGCCGCATCAGCAACCTCAGGGACCCCAAGAACCCTGGGCTCCGGAGGAATGTTCTCAGTGGGGCTATTTCCACTGGCCTCATTGCCAAGATGATGGCAGAAGAAATGGCCAGTGATGAACTGAAGGAGTTGAGGAATGCCATGACCCAAGAGGCCATCCGTGAGCACCAAATGGCCAAGACTAGTGGCACCAACACTGACCTCCTCCAGTGTGGCAAGTGCAAGAAGAAAAACTGTACCTACAACCAAGTACAGACACTCAGTGCTGATGAGCCCATGACTACCTTTGTCCTATGCAATGAATGTGGGCATCGCTGGAAGTTCTACTGACAGCATCTCTCACCAGGGGGCATGAAGGAGGCAAGGAAGACCAAGTATGTGGAGCCATCCGAACTGGAGAAAAAATAACTGAAATGAAGAAAACTACTTATAACTGAGTAAAACAGCAGGGATCAGAGGGAAAATTCATTTGCCAATTAATAATCAGTCATTCATAATGATTGGCTAATAGAAGAGCATAACTGGAGTACCAGGCTAAGAATCCATGTTGACAGATTTCTTGTAGAAAGTCACAACATTATGGCTGAGGAGTCACATCTTTGACTACGCCACTTGACCTTTGCGTTGAGGCCCTTCCTTCTCACCCAAATCCATCAGACTTTCTTGGATTGAAAAATACCAGAGGGCTGAGGGTTTAAATCAACAGTAGAATGCTTGCCTAACATGCTGGAAGATCCAGGTTCAATTTCCAGCACTTCAAGAAATGAGGAAAGAAAGCACATGAGAGTCAGGGTATAGCTCACTAGTAGAGTACATGCTCAGTGTGCTTGAGGTCGTAGTTCAGTTCCTACTACCAAAGAAAGAAAAGAAAACAATTACCACTGGACATGGTGGTACATGCCTATAATCCCAGTACTCTGAAAAGCCAAGGCAGAGCAACTGCAAGTTCAAATGGACAACTTAGTGACTTAATGAGGCCCTGTCTCAAAACAAAAAATAAAAAAGGGGTGGGAATGTAGTGCACTGTAAAGGCCCTGGGTCCAATCCACAGTAACACCAAAAACAAAAATACAAAAAAAAAAAAAAAAAAACCACTCAGATGCAGTGGTGCACATCTGAATATGATCCCAGCAACTTGTGGACTTGGGGGCTGAAGCAGGAATGAGGCAGAGATTAGGACATAGCAGAGTGGTTGGGAAATTGGGTGTGACCTGTCAATCATGGAAACCTGTCAATCACAGCCAGATGCCTGTGCAGAGCAGTTTTGGAGCCCTGTGTGGGACACCCTGGGTCTGCTAGAAAAAGCCTTGGCCATTGACCTCATGGACACTGTCTTGTTTTTGCAGTGGCCTGCTCTGCATCTCTCTTCTTAAGAGCACTTTTTCTTTTATGAAACACATTTTTTTTCCAAATTTTCCTCTTTTACCTTTAATAAATGTTAAATTTGTACATCCTTTAGTTGTTCATCCAGTTCTTTGAGGACAAGAAACTGGAAAGAGCCACTGGCACCCCACCAGCCGGTAAGAGGAGAATCACCTGAGTCCCAGCCTGAGCATATATCAAGACTGTGTCTTTTAAAGAAGAGAAAGAAAAACAGATTGACACAAATCTTTCCCCACTCCTGAGCCACACATGCAGAACAGACCCATGGTTTTTCTTAGGCAGATGTGACCTCCACACTAGGTAGAAATCTTTTCCTGACTTCTTCCTTGTCTCTTTGAAAACTCTCTTCTGCTCCCTGTTCATAGCTGTCTACAAGGACCCTTTGAGACTGCATCCCTCTTGGCAGGGAGGTGGCCCTCCAGAGCAAGATTACAGCAGTGCTTCTTATTTCCATGGCTCCTTTGATAATCCTGAACCCTGGAAGCTACTCAGTTAGGGCAGTTAGCTGCCCTAACTCCCAGCTCTATCTGTGACTCAAGCTTCAGAGGAAGTTTGCAGAGCATGCTGCTCTATGTGTTATCAGCTTGCTTTTTATGCTAAGAAGGACATTAGGCAAAGCCAGACACTTCTGGAAAAGCTTTGGGAGCATGTTTAGAGGGCTGTTGATGGTTTTTGTTTCTGGTTGTCCCTGGCCTTCCAGCAGCCTAAGGCCAAGCATGCTAGACTCTGTGTTACCTAAAATGTTGACATGAAGGAACCTGTGAACTCCGAGGAGCTTAGGCAAGTCACTAAGCCATTGCCTTCCCTATAAAACTGGAAATGGAACCAAGACTGTTTCCAGGGGTGACTGTGGAGAAGCTGCTGGGTTTCCATCTGCCTTGGTTCACCCTCAAGGGTGATCACTTGGGGTCACAACAGAAAGCTCCTGACTCCCTGGCATCATCCCCTCTAGACCTGGTTAAATCTCCTTCCTTCCACATATCACATGCCACCTCCCAAAGAGGAAGCCATAGACTGTATGGAAGCTGCCACCATCTTCAGCTTTTAAGCAGGTGTTGTAGAAAGGTTGGAGAGTCTCACCAAAGGCCCAACACTAGCAGCTACCTAAGACTGAACAGGACTGAAACTCAGGACTTGTGCTTCTTGTCATGGTACCCAGTAACACTGGGAGAGACTCAGAGCATGTACAGTGCTGAGTTCATGCCTTCCAGGAATTTTCAGACTGGTGTGGAGAAAAGCAACAAGCACAGCATAGACTCCCAAGCCAGACATGTTGGAGAGCCACATCTCAGGTATGCATGATCCTGCAGAAGTACAGAGGGATGCTGCTTAGAAACCCAGGTGCTCCTTTGCCTTGAATGTGAGGGAGATCCTGAGGAGGGTGCTAACGTGCAGATTCTGACTCGGTGGGCCCAGAGTGTGGCTGACATTTTCCTTTCTAACAAGTTACCATTGAGTACAAGTGCTACCCAGAGACCATACTCTAAGACAAGGTTAGACATCTAGATTTTTCACTGCATTGTCTGATCCTTCATCCAAATAGTTCTGCACCAAAAACAGAGGAAAAGAGTAACTTCAGTCAGTTAAATTGTGTTAATGAAGATTACTGCAGGATGAACTTTTTTAAAAAAGATACTACATTTTGGTAAGGGCTATTTGCTAAAAATATAGAAGAATACATACACTGGCTGTCTTATAATGCTGCTTTGGTTTGGGAAAGCAAATTGATAAGTAAACTGATAAACATTGATAAGCAAATTGATGCACACATTGAATACTGTTAATGTTAGGGCTCAGAAAACGGTACCCCGAAATATGCTGCCTTAGACTGAGACCATCTTTTCTTATCTACCTAGAGATAAGAGATAGGTCTAAAATGTACAGTAGGTACTGTGAAATGGGAAGAAATTGTTCAAAAGGAAAAAGGAACTAGGGTGATGGAAAGGGGAAAGAGGAAAGGACAGAAAGGAAAAGGAAAACTAATGCAATTCAGTTGTGCTATTAGTATCTTTTATTACATTGCAATGAAAGGTTTGTGCTGATATCAGTTGGAGACAAGTTAATGCCCATATTTTGTACTCTGAATAACTACTCTAAAGATAACAAAATGCAATGTATTAACTGTTATTCTATTTTGTTAAGAAATGCTGCTTTTTTCCATTTAGAAAAAAAAATCTAGCAAAGAGAACACAAGTGCCTTCAAATAGTCTTTACTGAAATGTTATTTTCATGTTAATTTTATTGAGAAAGAAGTAGCAATGAGACAGTTTCAAAACAGGTTAGTAGGACAGTCACAATAATTAATACATTGCATATCGTCTTCATAGTAGTTATTCATAGTACAAGATGCAGACATGATATCTCGTCTCAGCACTATTACTTCAAAACTTTCTTCTCATTGAACTAAGAGAAAGTAGCTGTATATCTATCCTAACTATTTTGTATAGACATATACATATATACATATACATATATTTTTTTTACTACAAAATGGTCCTTTATTTATAATGAAATATTAGCGATTAGTAAAGATTAAACTCAGAGCACAAAGGAAGGGACTGAAAATCAGACACCACACCCAGAACCCAGACAACTTTCCCCAAGCAATTATTGTGTTCTTCAGGGCCACTCATTTTCCTAAGAATCACTTGCCACCTCTCTACACTTCTTTGCCTGAAATGAATACTTAAGTTTCAACCACTTGGCCCTTCCTTGAGTTTTCATATTGTAAATGGCCCCTTTGCACATAAGCAGATGAACAGAGTTTGTTTGGGTTTTCTCCCGTTAGCCTCCTGTTAATGGTTTGGCCTCCACCCTCATGACTTCATCTGATCCTCATCTCCAGATGCCATCAATATGAGTTTCAGGCTAAGTTTCCAATATAGGAACTTTGAGGGCATTCATGTAAACCGTAGCAGAGATTACATCCTAAGCAGAACACTAAACATAGAGAAACACTATTATAACCTAAATTATGCTATTGCATTCTTATTTTTTATGTTAGTTCCCTCACCCCAAGAACTTTAGTAAAGAGAAATGTATAAAAGACCTGGAGCTAAGCAAGGTAGCACATATCCCTGTAATCCCAGCACCCTGGAGGCCTGAAGCAAGAGGATCACAAGTTCAAACTCTGTCTGGGCAATTTAGCCAGATTCTGTCTCAAAAGACAAAAATTTAAAAGGCTCGAGACCACTGCAGAGGTCTTGGGTAGCTAAAAAGATAGAGAACATTTGGACTTTGAGAAATGCAGTTATGGAAGCATTCCAGGCTAGCCTGTGCTTTGTTGTCAAATCCCTCAAGAAAGAAAGATGGTGGATAAACAGACAGAGAAAAGAAGACAGACAGACAGAAAAAGAGAGGGAAGGAGAGAGAGAGGAAGAAAGAAAGAGGGAGAGAAAAACAGAAGGAAAGAAAGAAGAGGGAGAGAGGCAAGTAGGCTTAGTTTTCTTTTGACACTTGTCGGTGTGGCGCCCCAGGAGGTTCTGCTCTGCTATACTCAGACACGGGCCTCTGCCGCCACCAAGAACACTGTAAATTGCACTCTCTTGAAGACGTGCACAGAAGTAACACATGGCCCTCCTACTCACATTCTTCGAACCAAAGGAGGTCACATGACCATGCACAGGTGTAAGGGAAGGGCACCCCTGCCCTCTCCATGTGCCTAAGAAGGAGAACGAAATAGCATGTGCACCTCCCAGTGACCACAAAAGGTACTGCAAGAGTTGTATCATTTGAAGGAAAGGTAGTTTAGGCCAGGCTATTCAATAAAGAATCTGGACCCCACCCCACACTTGAGACTTATTTCCAGATTACATAGAATAGGGGCACGTTTTTTAATAGTGTATTGTCTCTATGTTGCTACAACTCTTAGCTGCTTTATGGGAAAACACAAAAGGGTCAACATTGTTAGAATTCTATACCCTGATGCAAAGTTGGGGTTGTTTTATATCCTAGCATTATACTTTGGGGTTTGGTTTATACTTAGGCAGCAGCTTACTGAGCACTAAAAGAGATGTTTTGATGATCTTTCAACCTTCTGTGGGATGTAACTCTGAGTAGAGCAGTTACGGTTTGGCTTGCCCCAGCTTAGAGGCCTGTGGAACCCCATCTAAGAGGCATTCACAGAGGTTCTGGGGAGGCTCAGAGGCCCACTTTCCTGGTTATTCATGGAGAGGGGAGGGGACACACAGAAAAGACCAGAAAGGTAATTCTGTGAAGGCACCAGGGGCCCAAGTACTCTGTCAGGCCCAAAGGCATAGTACCTGGGGCTCAGAATACTTTTAGGGGCTCATGACTCTTTAAATTCTCTAAAATCATCAGTGGCTGACGGGGAATTTATAGTGAGGAAATTTTTCAAATGTTAATATATCTACCCTATCTATAATTCCCTTTGGATTCTTCTATTGTGGCTGTCACGTGTGAAGCCAGGAGTTGTTTCCAAGAGTCCCACCATCTCCCTCCATGAAGCAGAGGTAAGCGAGCCAGTGAGTCCTACCCCAGGCCTGACCACAGCTTTTACCTCTCAGGATGCTTATTCTTGGAGTGCTCCTACCCTTAGCCTAGACTTTCCTCACCGTTCTGTCTGACTTGGGCCATGCAGGATTCTTCCTGCAAGAATATTCTTCCTGGTTGCCCTTTCCACACATACCCTTAAAGTGTAGACCTGTGCTGTACCATCTGGTGAGCGATGTAGGACTATTTAATGCTTAAAATATGACTATTCTAAATTAAGATGCATCATAGGACTAAAACGCATGTCAGATTTCAAGCCTTGCAGACATTAAAAAGATACAGAAACTATCTCAATGACTTATATCAAGTGCACATTGAATGTTATACACATATCAGGTTAAAGGAGATATACTAAAGTTATTTTCACCTGTTTCTTTTTCCTTTTAATGTGAGTGCAAGAAAGGTTTTTAAGTGATATCTATAACTCACAGCTATGTATGGCTTCTTACATTTTATTTGTTAGACGGAACTGCTGTAGACTTGCTACCATATGTAGAAGACCTCTGGAAAACCATAATCATGTCTCTCCTCTGCTCCAAACTCTCTAATGGTTTGTATTTCACTAATAGGCAAATAAAACATTATACTGGCCCTTCAGTCTTTAGACACGGCTGGTACTCTCCTGACACTGTCACCCTCACCTCTTCATTCTGAGGAGGTTGACCTCTTTGTGATTTGGAGGAATGTGCCAACAGTGTTCCCACCACAGGCCCATTGCATGTTTCCAGTCCTCTGCTCAGACTCCCTTTTCCCACCTCCTTAAGATCTCTGCTCATTTTTTATCTTCCTATTTAAAGTAGAGTACACACACACACACACACACACACACACACACACACCCTTATTCCCCGTCCCTCCTTATTCTACTTTAGTTCCTTTTCATTTTTCACCCATCTCTCTTGATTAGAACATAAGCTTCTTAAGGGCAGGTATTATGTCCACGCAGTGCTGGGTACCCAATTCCTAAAACCATGCCTGGTGCTTAATGGGCACTCAGTGGCTGCTCAATGACTTCTGAATGCATTAGTGATAGAGAGGTAAATGAGGGTGGATGGAAGGGGGCACCCAGGTTGTCCCTAGGGCTGTCCTCCAGCCTAAGCAGAAGTGTGCTGTCCACTACCACACTGGATTTCTGTGTTGCACTTTGAAGGTAAAGCCTCAGAGTCCTTCTGCCTGGCTGTGTTCTCAACAGAAATTCTGTGCTGTGACTGCTACAGGACTGAGGAGGCGGGGCACCACCCAATACCATGAGCTCTTCATTCACAGGTCACAAAGGTCTCTCTTCTTCTTTCTGTATTTATTTATTTTTCTTTAGCACAGTCAAAACCATATCATCTTTGAGAACTTTTAGGTAAAATCAAAAGAAAGCTGAAGAATATAAATAGTATAACACCCATTGCTGTAGTGCTTGGGCTGTGATCCTACAATAGTCAAGTCACAGACTGATTAAATTTTTAGGAGTGAAGCCGGGTTCCCCTTTTGTCTATGTCCAGGTCATACAGGCTTGGGCTGTTTTCTAATTTCCCACTGCTTCGTGAACTCTTGCACCCTCACCTCAGAGAAACTTGACTGTTCATATTACAGACCCTTGCTTTCCAGAGAACTCTTGTTCATGGTTTATAATCAGATACTCTAAGGACAGCTAACGCCCCATTTTGCCCAATCAGTCCCCTTTTTCTTTCCCAACTGGCTTCCAGAATTATCTCTGTGGGTGCCTCCTTTCCTCCATCTAACTCAGTACAGCCCCTCTGGCAGGTCTGAGCAGCTTGGTCTTGGTTAC